CTGAGGAGGGGATAAAATATCTCTCACGAAATGTTTACATTCACAGTATAGCTCAATCTGTTTTCTGTTCACTTTGTGCTAATAAGGTTTAAGTAAATGACATGGTTTTGAAATTATTTGTGCGAAGACCACTTTGTATTTTCAAGCAAACCAATCGCTCCCCATGCAGATACATAGATCTTTTAACAAATTTGAACAAATGGGGAAGGCAAGAGGTTATTTAAGTTTGCTGTATATTTAAGATGTAGTACTTACCGAACTTATTCCTATGGGACGTAACTGGTCTCGCAGCTCTCTACGTCTGTACGAAGGGAAATTCAGATAGCTGTAAATCAGGATAGAAAAAGAAAAAAAACATCATACTCTTTCCCATAATGATATGAAGTTCATGTCTGAAAACCACATCCTTCACATTGCATCTGGCTGCTTGGTCAATGTTAAACCATAAACCACACCAGCGACTCAGCACTCATTGGTCCAGCCATCTGCACAAAATTACACATACATCAGTTTGGCAGAGAAAACTCGCTAACTACTTTAAATCATCCTCAAATTGGCAGCAGTTACAAGCGCTAGGTTTGAGTAGATGCATGGTCAGGTCATTATATGTCAGGCTCAAAATACATGATCAGATTCCTTGCTGTCAACATGTCTTACTATTTGGCAGAGCAATAACAATATGCAGAGCTCTGACAGTGCAACATTTTTAAAAGTCTCTTGTGCCAGTACGATCACCAAGGTAACACTAATAAAGATTTAAGATGTTCATTGTTTACAAGCTTGTACAGACAAAGTGAGCTCAGTTCAAAATTAAATGTGTTTCCGCTCTATAAAATGACAGTTTAGCCTAAATTGTTTTGTCCCTTGCTCCATTTGTAATACTGTGCATGAGTACTTTTGAGTATTATTGTTGCAGTAATACCTGTGGTCAAATCAAAACTATATGCACAACAAGCTAAACGATGCAGTGCTAATGCAGCTCTTAGGAAACAGATAAGCTTTAATACATAATAAAGCTGACTGTGATATGCAGTTTGATATCCAGACAGGGAACAGTCTCTCTTGGAAAAATGAGATTTCTGTTAGACGATTTTTTTCGCATTTTACACACAAAAATAAATCACGTCGAGTAACTTTTATTTACATAGCGCTTGGCTTTACAGATTGTTTCGAGGTAGCGAAAAGTTGAAAACCACTTAACTTCACAAGCAAATTGTAGAAAAGTGTATTATAAGATATGTCTGAGAAATTATGATCACAAAGTCTACACATTTCTGCTATTTGTTTGGGGTCTACTGCCAAAGCAAAATTATTTTAATAACATTTCATACCATGTTGGTAAATTAACGTTGAATAATGGACCGTATCGCTGCTTAAAGGGGCCTAAATGAGAGCCAAGTCCACTTTCAAGGTCAAGGACGATGTGAATTTAAAAGGAAATGGCATTTTTCACTGAGTTCACTTAAGGGGTCTTTTGTGTGTGTGTCTATATCACTAAAGAAATTTAGAAGAAGAGCTATTTACCACTTAAAACTAACAAAAGTAACTTGATTCCATCATATACAGTATACTGCAAAATAAATGGCACACCTCTCAGCTCATGCAAAGCCAGTATAAAGGAGATGGTAAGCAGAACCTACACAAACCACAATAGAATAGAGCGAAAAGAGCCTGTACCAGACAAGGATAATGTTACTCTAACACACTTACCACAACTGACTTAATTACACCGCCCTTAGTGTTTGACGCTTTCTAGAGATCAGCATTGTTTGAAAGACACTTCATTCAGTTTTCAAGCTAACACACATGCAAGCATCTGCTCACAGGACCTCCCATGGCAGCACTCTTTACTGAGAGCAGTTTGACATCTCCCTTACCCCTGAACACACACGCTCAGACGCTCTCCTTCCTGTCCCGCATATGACACTGTCCTGTTTATCAGCTTTAATTTCACTCTGTTGTCTCTGCTTACTGCTGTAATTGAGCTGTCCTGTCGCTGAACCGGCCCAGTGGGACCCGTATGTAATCAGCCAGGTGCTCCCACAGGCCTCTCACTGTCTGTGACAACTGTTACAGATCCCTGAGGCGCTCTCCTGCTCACCTGTTCTACGTGTAGCTCTGTCCCACATCTGAAGCGTTCATGCATTCACAGTTAACACAGTGTTTGTTTTAATTGTTAATTAGGACACGTTATTGTTTATTAGAACATGTTCCTTTGTAAGAAAGAATATTTAGCAGCATGGTGGAATGAAAGAAAAACATTGGAGGCATATCACATGACATGGATGAGCATAATGCTTATTAAATACATGTAAATAGCCTACTTCATTATCAGGTAAAAGAAAATATTATGTTTTAAAGTCTTTTAACTATTTTCGATGTCTGTGTCCCTTCTGTCCAAAATCTAACTTGCCACAGTTATTATAGAAAATTAAGTAATTAATATATTATATTACTTCACATTAAAAAAAATATAGCCTACATATTACACTAGCAGTAATTTACAAAAAACGAAACACTGCTGTGAGGGTGTTTAATACAACTGTGTGCGCACTGTGCAGAGCAAGTTGTAGAATAAAACTTCAAAGTATCGTCAAGTTATGTTTACCACAGGCTTTGTTTATAATTGAAAACAAACTAAAATTAGTTAGAAAATGACGACTTCCGCTTCTGAAAACTGCGAAAAAGGGTCCATTTAATTTCCGGACAGTTAATTAACTTAGTAATCATGCATCTTTTTGTTTGTGAAAGTACCTACTTGTTTGTACATCATGCACCTTCGCCAGGTTTATTTCGCGTGTTCGTGCATCTCGTAATCTGCAACTGCTGCATTGATTGAACGCTCCGCAAATTCGATGCTTCAATCGCATTGGCTGAATATGAGGGAAGGGGCGGGCTTTATCTGAATTTTAAAGGGATAATTCACCCAAAAATGAAAATTCTGTCAAGCTACTCACCCTCATATTCCAACCCCGTAAGATTTTCGATCATCTTTCGGAACACAAATTGAGATATTTTTGATTAAATCTAAGAGCTGGATCACTCCTCCATTAGGCTTCTAAGGGATTGAAACTTGCCTGCTCAGAAAAGTTATTAAAAACATTGTTAAAATATTCTAAGTGACTACAGTTTATCAAGCGTCCAGAATGCTTTTGTGGGTAAAAAAAAACTAAATTAACGAGTTTTCTCAACTACTCATTTCTTTCTCCGTGGGCCTCGAGTTTTTGCTAATTTGTGTTGCGAAGATGAACGAAAGTCTTGCAGGGTTGGAACAACATGAGTAATTACTGACATAATTTTCATTTTTGGGTGAACTAACCCTTTAAGACAACACAACAATGCTATAAAAATGCACAATTATTTCAACTCAGGAAACTTGTTTCAGACAGGTTCTCATCGCACCAAATAACGTCATGTGTTTGTTCTAATTTTTAATTATATTTACAGATAAACAATAAAATATCTACTTAAATTCTTAATTCTTTGTTGAAATGCAGTCAAGAGTTGCATAAAATAAAAAAGGACATTTAATAGGCTTAAATAAATTTGCTACATTCAAGACCCTTTTTATTCTACATCTAAAAACCAAACCATTGGATTCGGATGTGCCTCGTTGCCTTCCTATCTCCGCGTGCAACCTGCAAATGTATCATTTTCCAAGATTGCAGCCCTTCTGTTTTCCGTGGAGGCTGTTTGTCTGTTGGTCAAGGAGGCTTGACTTCACATTAATACACTTTGGAAGTATACAGTCATTCACAGTGCCTTATTTTCTGCGTGATCCCTGGCCTTGGAAATATCACATTGCCCCAGGCTTTCCCTGTATGAAAGGAGAAATGAATCCTCCCAGCTGTAGTGTTCGGTTATTTTTAGAATGCTGAATGGAGTTGCAGTTCTGTATAAAGCCAGATACTGTTTCATTTTAGAATTAAAGGAAGTTGGCCACTAAAATATTTTTTTGACATATAGACTAAATATCGACAGACTGTACACTGAGCTTAGGATTTCACTTCTTCTTTTTTTTTTTTACAAGTTGATCACTTTTTTCAGAGGACAATGCTTCATATGACCAAAAGAACATAGGTCGTGAAAATACATGTTTCAGGATATTAACTATACATTATCCAGCCTCATTTCTCTTAGATAATTTCATTAGTTGAGCAGAGTTCAGAGGTAAATCTATTTTCTTTACAGTTCCTTAGCAACCAGAACTTATTTGCATATAATTGTAAAAGGATGAACAAACACTTTTATTTTTGTTTTTATAGCAATCATTCACTTTAACGGCCAATAAGGTCAATGCATTTTCAGAATGTTTTTTGTTGTTGTTGTTGTTGCTTTATTGCTCACAATAACTAACAAACCTTTGTGAATACAAATAACTACAATAAAATGCTTTAAATACATCTAATAATAAACTATTTTATGTCGCCATAAGGTAAAAAGCATGGAATGAATTTCAGTTGTCTTTTTAAACCACATTACGTCTGCTTCTTTTCTTTTTTTAAAGGTCAGGGGGCAGAAATAGAACAAGGCACCAAGATGTTTAGAGGCAAATCATCAAGAACATTCGACAGGATTCAACACCATGAATTCCCCCGAAGCCTGTTCTTGTTTAAACTGGCCAATGCCCAAGAGCGAGCACTCGCTCATTAATATTCATTGACGCCTGAGTGTAATAATAATGATGGGCAAATGTTACCATTTCTATCCCTCACTCGTTGAACAATCAGTTATCAGAAATCCCTGTATGCCTTGGTATAATTCTTTGTTTAATAAGGATTTGAAAGAAAACTGCAGGTTTCTTAAGGCTCAGCTCAATCCTAAAACACTGGGTTAAAACAAAGTGCTGGAATTTGCTGCCAAAGAATGTTTTCACACTATCAGTTCATTGGAAATATTAGGATATTTTAATTTAATAATCCCTGAAACGGTGAAATACAGTAAATACAACCCATTGGATAGTTTACTAAAATAGTCAATATAAAAAAGAGAGAGGAAGATGATTCTTACAACAATGACAAATTTATTTAATCATTTATTTGAGCTGCTCCAGCAAGTGTATTTACAAACAATGGCATTAAAAGATATAAAAACGTGTCATATCATAATGCAAGTCAGCACTGTACCGTCAAGAGACGTCACAGCAAATGTTTAATATTCAGGCAACACAGCCAAGAAGCTGAGGGAAATGGTGGTTTAGATATCATGGTCTTCACATCTGTATGAAGAAGCAGGTGAATTAGGAAATGATGTTTAACACTGAAGAAATATTTTCTGGGATAAAAACGATGAGAGAATACAAGCACATGACTGCCTTGTGGTGAAACATGCAGGAAGTTCAATGAAATAGACTTCATATGGACAAAAACAGACACTGCAGGAGTTATATGAAAATAATGTACTAAAAATGTCCTTCTAGGTTGGTTCCCATGACAATAAATTGATGACAGCATTTTGTGGTGCAGAAAAGATCATTGCAATCAGAGCATTGCAGACACAGGGGATTTTTAAAAAATGTAGATGGGTTTTGAAGCATATGATTTAATGATAGTACAGTGGTGCTTTTGAAGATGGACCAGCACACATTCCTAGTTGTCTTCATGAATATTGAACGGTTTAACTGTTTAAATGAAATAAAAAAGTATTCTGACTGAAAATGTATTTAAAAAGTGTGTATGATATTATGTTTCTTTTTTACTGGAATATTCTTAAATGTCTCATTTCATTTATCACATCACTATATATGATATGATGCTAGACAACGTACGGATACATAGCATCCATAGGACCCATGTGCTCCTGTATAACCAGTGTAAAAGAACCATAGAAGCTAGCCTACCGAAAAATAGCCGTATATCGTAGTAAAAACATTGTATTATGAGGCTTACCCAACTGTCGACACGTAGATGTGAATGAAAAAACATGGAAACCATTCGAGCAAGGAGAACAGGGACTAGGGCAAATATTTACCCTGTTTTTTGTGTCAGTAAAGGCCATTACTATTGATCCCAGCAGGAGATCTCATCTTTCTCCCTCTCTGGCCAAGTTCACAAGAGTAACGCTAGCCCCATGGCTAAACTGGACACCGCGCTCCTCCTGTGCTGCTGTCGATTTTTTAATTCCAGAAATAACCCACATGAGGCATCGCAGTATGTGGTCTGCGTGCCAGGCACTTTGGACAACATCAAAGAGCCTATTAAATCACGTTAGGGTGTCAGCTGCCACCGGGGTGGAAGCGACGCACCGCTACTGTTTCAGTAGATCCCAGATGAGCTTTTAGAGCGCACAGCTCCGTCCTGAAAAAGTAAATAAATACAAAACAGCATGGTTGAAATGCACTTTGATAAAAGATAAGTCCATGTGAGGATATAAGAAAAGAACTGAATTACTTTCAAAAAGGAATCTTTGAAAACAGTTTTTACATAATTAATTCAATCGGAAAAGGTATGAGCTCGAAATGTTGATTGGATTAAAATGTTAATGCGGTTCATTTTGATTCCTCTAGGGTAAAAAGACAGGAAGCATTTACAAAACTAATGCAAGCCATTTCCCCCTCCCGCCCATCCATAACAATGGACCCCTTTAAGGAGTGACGTGACCCCTGACGGACATGATGTGTAGACCTACAACTGTTTTTTTTCCCCCCTGATATCATTTCAAGAGTTGACTCGTTAAAAGTTACTCTGCAATGCGGTTGTTATTTGTATAAATCAAGGTAAGTTGACTGAAGCTAGGCATTTTTTGTATTCCTTTCTCCTGAATTCTGGCTGATGACTAGCACAACAAGTGTCAAGAGCACTAAGACTGAACAATAAATAAGAAAAGTATGATTCACCAAACAAATTAGTATATTCACTCAAACGATTGATCAGTGAGGCTCCGTACTCCTAACAAAACATCGATTTTGGCAGCTACACAAGAGCATTTTACTTCAAGAACACCATATCTGCGTTTCAGTCCCATGTTCACCTGTACACAATGTACAAAAAGAGTGCTTATCTTTTTCTTTTATCTACGAAAACTCTTCAAAAACGTCACCGTTCACCTGAGCACCTGAGTCAACGTGGACTACTCTGGGTTAGATATTAAAACGCTCCATGCTCTCCCTTTTATAAGGGCTCCTATCAGGCAACAATTTGCCATGATATCTAGTAGAGTCAGCAGTCGAGTCCATAGTGATGACGTTTACCCACAGTGCAAGTGGAGAGATCCCACAGATAGTCCTCTTGATCTGTTATAAGACTTCTCTTTTCTGGACGGCAACACAGAAAGAGGTCTTTGTGAAAAAGTCATTTTCTTCCTCTGCCCCCAATTACAAGGCCCTCTCCGACGTTACATAAGGGCACTGAGGACACAGACCTATTTTTGTATACGTGTCATAGTTTAGTGGGTTTTATTTGTGTGTACAAGAGCATTTTTTTTTTCATGGGATAGAGATTTTGTTCATTGAAACCCATCCAGTAACATCGTCAAATCGTTGCGACTTCCTGCGCGAGAAACTACTTTTCAGCTCAGAGAAAGATGTTCCTTAAAAGTGCTCGATCACGAGTCCTCCTGTATACTTCAGGTGTGTCACTGTGCATATATGGGATGCTATAAGCAGGACAGCGAAGCCAAAAGAACCAGCGCTGAGGCCAACAAAGGCCCTACAGTCTGAATGCGGCCGGCACCGTTGACGTCACTTCGGGAAGGTTCGGCAGATTCATGACTCGTTCCATCTAAATGGAGAAAAGAAAGTAGGTTTCTAATACCTTAGTGTGCAAAAACATTTGACATTACTGATAGTTTTAAATATGGAAATGACATCCAATACGAACCATTATTATTTTCTATGGAGTTAATGCTTCCATCATTGATCTTGTCCACGCGGTCGTGACTTTTCTCGCAGTTGTCTGAGGGAGAAACATAAAACAGGGTGTTGTCAGGGTCATGACATCATCTTTAACCATTCCAGCAGTGATAAACGATGCAATTGCAACCACGTTTTGTCAGAAGCAATGCCAGGATGTCTCCTGAGGGGCTTGTAAAACTTACTCGAAGGTCTGACGAAAACTTTCAGCCTCAAGCAGCTCCGTCTCCCGTTTTCACTGACTGTAGATGCTGTGGAAACATTTCAGATAGTCAATATTAGGCTCAATCGATCCACGCTGCATATTGTTTAACACATCAAGTCATCTTTTTTTTTAGCTTTATATACATTACAGGGCTCAACAATAAGGATTTTTTTTCGACTAGCCTGGTCAGCCAGAATTTTCCTCAAGTCATTTAGCTAATGCTTTTTTCCAAAGCGACTTGCAAATGAGGTACAACAAGTCATTTATCAGAAGAGACACTATATACAGTGCACAATGCTTCACATGTGAGCACTCATTGGTTTGATTGATTCCTCCAACAACAAAAGACAAAACATTCAATTTAGCCAGTGGAAGTTAGAAAATGATTTCTTTTTTTGACATGCCTTCCAAAAAGGTAAAAGCAAAACAGCTTCACAGGTCCAAGGCCACTAGGATCATTTGTTTCAGGTTTAGTCTATCAGAACATCCTCAGATGTTACCGGTCATCGCAGTTTGCGGCTTTCTACATGCAAAGGCCTCATTTGAATGCTTTCACTGGCCTCAGAGGGATGTACAATCAGCATTCATTTAGGTTCTTACTGATAGACGCAGACGGGGCTACATTTGCTATGCTGTTACCCTTGTCATCTCAACCGTGAGCCATATTTCTCAATTTGTCCTCTCCATAAAGGAAAGCTTATTATTGCTTTAAGAAGAACAGGTAGACAGCCTCTTTCTCCGCTGTCCTCTCTTTGTGCAGTACATAATGCAATCTGGCATAGTCAAGGAGTAATGCAAATGAGGACTGGTGGGATGAGGGGGAAAGAAGGCTTGGTATTTTTCCCCACAGATCACTCTGGGTGTAAAGGTGACAAGGTAATGAGCAATGCAACACACTTCAATAAATCCCCTTCTTCAAAGCCCCAATGTAATATGTGTGCGGCCTGCACAAAGGCAATTTCCTTATAGCCAACACAATATGTTCTTTATAATTCAATTGGTGAGGCTCGCTTTCACTGATGTGGACATGTGCTCCACTGTGATTTGAGTTTTTCATGATGAAAAAAATAACACCTATACGCAGATGTCTTGTTTTTCTCGTTGAATGCCTAAAATTTGGATTATTTGACAATTTGCATATGTCAGCATAAATAAGATAAGATTAATGTTCACAGCACATACGGTCCATTAGTGGCAGGGTGATGAATTAGTCTTCTTTCCCTTTAAATTTGTTTACTGGCAGATATTTATTGAACACCCTCCTCTTAAACACACATGCCTAACAACAGGTTATACTGTATATATGTTTTTTTTTTATGGATAAAAATTTGTGCTACAACTTTTCGAGCTCTTTTCCTAACCTCTGCTGGATGTGACCTTTCCACAAGCCTCTTAGATGTTGATTGGTCACTACATACATCAACACCTGCTACTTAAAGCTGTACTGGCAGCTAGTAACATCAACAGCTGCAAATGACAGATCACAGGCCGAAAGAAACACCTGCCACTAAAAGCTCTGTAATCAGCTGTGATGATACAAATGACTTCTGTTCGGCCCATAGACCATATCGCCAGTGACTCTGAACTGTTGAACCTTACATCATCTCCTCCATTCATACTTCATGAATCCACAGTACTGGCTCATTGAAGAAATGTATAGGACATTGAGTATAAGTCTATGATAAAGAAGTGGAGAGTCGAAAAATGTAGTTTAAAATGCATGAGCTGAGTTCCCAGAAAGTCAAGGTGCAATAGGTGGTCTGGGAAATGCTAACTTTAGCCTGCTAGCATTGAAAGTAAACAATCCCACAAACCCAGCAAATTGCCATTCAAAGCCCTGCCTTTTCCAAAACACATGAACGCACACAGGCCACAAGTGAGATAACCAGAAATAGTGTTATGGATTGAATCATGTGGTATTAACCATTGAGGAAACTTTATAGTAAGGGGAGAAACAGAAGCACTTGATTACATACGCAAGTATGTGACTGAGAAATGAGTCAGAAGTTGAGCTGTTGACAAAAAGGAAAGAATGCAGTCTATTTCAGGTTAATTCATATGCGATTTCAGGACTTAGAGGCAACACAGTCAAATTAATTAATTTTCTGCATAAGGCAGTCATTCGGACTGATTTTATGGTCCTTCTGTATGTCTTCCACAGATCAGATGATGTATATATATAAAAATACATTTAGACCGCTTAATATAGTGATTGCTATCAGGATATGAGGAGAATTTCAACCAGCATAATTTTTTTATTTAGAACTTTTTATTTGTTTATAATTCTTAACAAAACTTATTAAAACTTATATAATTTTCTATACAATCTTAATGACTCAAGATTGTTTTTTTTATAAATATATAGAATGCATATATATATATATATATACAGTATAAATATATCAGTAAAAATATATCATATGAATTGTAATTTTGACTGTTAAAATATATAAATATATAAAAATGTAAAGTATTATTTAAGGTGTTTACACTCAAATAAGGTGTTATGAAATGTGTAATTATACTTTTTCCTTTTCTTAAAGTCACTAAACTGAAAATGTTACAGAAAATTAAATTAAAGTTAAGAAACATATTAATAAGAAACGTAGTGACCTTGACAGTCATTCAAGTCACTGAATAAGTAAACTGCATTTTAAATTTTTTTTTTTATAACGCTTGCCATTGAACCATATATCTGTTTAACTCTTTAAACCACCATGAAAGTGTCAAGATGAAGCTATAACAGGATATGTTGCCCGTAGAGAGGAACAAGAGAAAGACATGTTTGAAGAAAAGAATTATAACTCTTTTCCCCATTAGTTGACTGGCTCATCTTTGAGCTTGCAGACATTCCCATAATGCACCATGGCTCTTCTAGCCTTGACCCCCACGATTCCCTGCTGTGTGGGGTCTCCAGCTGCACTTAATCTGCTGTCTCTCTTCTTATCCCCACACCCTCATGACTGCAGGGAAAGGTTGGGTTAAATCAATGTGCTTATATGCTCACTACACGGACATACTGGGGGCTTATAAACCCTTAATCATGTCCCCACAAGCATTTTTCCTTTGATATGGCTGAAATTGCTTTTGTCTCATTCCTCAAGTCTAGTCTAGTTTTGAGAGGGATCCCAGTGTTGATTGGAAACACCACTTTACAAACACACGCACACTCTACATCACAACCTTATGCGGGCTACTATACCACAATAAATAACATCTGAGTGTGAGTGTGCAAACAGAGTATTGCATAATGTAGTCGTGTTAGTATTGCCACAGAGTCCAGAATTAACTTTTTGCCCAGAGACGTTACTAGGATGCCATCCCGGGGTGGGCATTTGAATATGTGGGGTGGGAGACTGTGGACAAAAAAGATGTGCAGGAGTGTGAAACCACAGAAAAAACATTAAAAACTTTCTATTTTAGCGGCAACATCACACACTAAAGAATCTGTTAAAGCGTTAAATGTGTTAAAGCCGTTTTTTTTAAAACAAAGAACGAATTTAATGCAGAACAAATGAAATTTCAAATATGTATTCTAACTAAGGGCTGGTTCACACATGTTTTTAGAATGCCATGTCATGTGTGAGATCCCGCAAAAGATGAGACTGCAACGGTTGAAGACGTCCGTCTACTGTAGCTAGTTTACATGGAAAGTAGTGCAGTGGAATGGTGAACGGCCCCTAAAGCTGTGGTAATACTAATTTCGTCTGCGAGTGTCCAGCTTAATAAATTATATACCACTAGACAATACTATTAAACTATAGGATAACTGAAAATAAAATAACGTAAAATTATCAGAATAGAATTAAACATCGGCATCATACGTGAGGTTAAACAATTATACAAATCTATTCTTGACATTAAAGCAAGAAATATTTCATGTGTTTTGCCACATGGGGTTATGTTAAAAAAGCTTTAGACATCCTAAACTTCTGATGATCAACTGCGCAAGTTCAAATTGTTTAAAGTCATAACAAGTGCTTTCTTTAGTAAACGGTTTGCACACAGTCAGACTTACAGCTTGTTTCAACAAAATATTAAGTTGTGGTTCCTTATGAAGTTATCAGTTACTGGCAAGTAACTCACTATTTACTCATCAAAGCACATTTTTACTTGCAAATTTTACTTGACAAGTATTCATTTTGGACCCTAAGTACTGTATATGTATCTGAATGAATGCTCAATGCCATAAACAATTCTCTTATTTCAAGGCTCTCACCAACATAAACTGTGGCAATAATCAACAGTCTTGGCCGTATTAGGAGGATTTCATGGGTGGCTGGCTTATATGACAAACTCTCATTTTGACAGTCATCAGAATTCCTCTCGCTGTCAGCATGTGGTGTGAAACTGACCTCTCATTGGCAGACATTAAGACTAGACTACCACACCAACTCTGCTTATTCAAAGACACACTACACTGTCAGGGCCCGAGCTGCTCATCCACGTCTCCTTTCCCACACGGCCGACACCAGATCCCTGTGTAGTTATCCACCCGAGCTGCAGACGACCCGGGGCAATAAACCTCCCAGACACCACTATTCCAGCTATGGGTTGAGAGATCAGATGTGATGTAACCGAGAAGTCTGATAAATGAGGGAAAGATGGATGGATGCTTCGTCTTTGAGATAAGACACACACCTATCTCTTTTCTTGTGCATTCTTGAGGGCTTTGAGAGCGCTTTGTAATACGGGGAATAATTCAAAAGGTAGCGATACACCACTTATAAGTAAACCGCAAAGAACAGAACTCTTATCAAAGCTACAAATCAGATCTTTAAGCACAAAGTGGGAATGTTTCTGGTTTACCTTACCCTACATTATGAAGATGAAGGGACTAGACTACAAATGGCAGTCGTGGTCTTTTGAAGCGGGCTCATATCAGACAGCCTGCACTGAGAGGCCAACTAAAAACCTTTCCTTGAAATTGGATTTCTATCCTCTGAGATTAAGATCAGACTTCCACATCGGCCATATTGGAAAAACATGCTGCCTTGAGCCGTTCAGGATTGGGAGTTCAACTGCAGTCATCAGAGCATGTTCACATTTGACCTGCAGGGCCGGGCCCTCTGATCCCCCGTGATCGCTTCCTGAGCGGGACGGGCACGCTGACTGACAGCACAGAGACCGCGCTTGTCACCCCCTGCTCTCCTGGAGCGACCCCCTCACTCAGAATGATTAGCCACCACACCAGCTAACAAAGACATTCTGTCTAACGAAATCATGACAGGCAGACATCAAACTAATGAAGGGAATGATTTAGGAAAATGTATTAGGTTATATATAATTAATGTTATAATGTAATGTTTTTTTAGCAACAGACTTTTATCAACATAGATTTTTTTTTACAGTATATCAAATTTCATACAGATACACAGATGTCTTAAAAATGTAAATAATGTAAAAATATAACAGTAAACAATATGAAATTATTTTATAATTATAAACTTTAAAAAATAGAATAGTGTATATATATATATATATATATATATATATATATATATCAGAAACCATTTTAAAGTATAAACAGCAAACAGAAAATATTTAAGTTTTTATTTTATTTTTTTTACTTCTATAAAAAAGCTATTTGAGTGGTTGGCTAATAAAAAAACATATAATAAAATTACATTATCATATATTATATATTTTTTTTATTAGCCAACCACTCAAATAGATTTTTTATAGAACAAAGTAAACAAAAAAAACCCTAAAAACTGAAATATTTTGTGTTTTCTGTTTATACTTTAAAACAGTTTCTGATGTAATTAAGATAACTGTAAGCCGCTGTCTACTAGAGATTACATTGAGAAACTTCTTCTTCTCCTGAGAGAGCCCGTAATAGCTGAATCATGACACTCATGAGTCACACAGTGCGCTATGAATTCTTGTTTTCCAAGTCGAATTAACAGTAAAACCCCTCATAGTACCTGACAGCTTCATCACTTCCGTTGAGATGTTTCCCATCCTATTATTCTTATTCACGGGCCTTCAGGGAAAAAAGTCCATTTTACCATGTTGCAACGTCTCAGATAGACACCCACATGCATGCAAAACATTCATATCTCCTACTGAGATCTAACCCCTAAATGCTATGTACTGTGCATTCCTATCTGTCTTTTTTCGCAGTTTCCATGTCGTTATCTCCCGCTTCTACCACTTCCCCCTCCTCATTCTCCTACTCCTTCCTTTCACATTTCATAAAAAACATGTCCACCGTTTTATGCGCCCATGAGATCTGTCAGATCATCAGGTCGGATTCCGCCAAATCAAACGCTCCACATCTCCAGCGTGCGCCTGCATAAATGAACCCATTGCGGCCCTGAGCGGTCCGAGCAGTCGGACCACTCCTGTGCCTTATTTTGTCTTCCCACTCCCGCCCTGTAGGGATCTGACTCCAGTTGTAAAAACATGGGTTTAGATGCTTGTTTTTAAGAGCCCTCTCACGAGCAAACGAAAGCTGAGACTAGGAGTTTGTAACAAAGACCCTTTAGTGGTAGACCAAGATGTTTTTCCCTGAGGTTCATGTTTTCCTTGTAGTCTGTTTGCCAAAACTCCTGAAAAACAAAGTCGTACTTGGCAACGACTTCCTTTCCTTAATGCTCGCAATCAGATATGTGTCTTAAAAGTATACTATTAAATGTAAGACTTGTGTTGCGTTATCCTCCGTGAAGACGCTAATACTAGATCCTTTTCAAAGCGATGCAAATAATTTTCCCCTGAAAACCAACCCTACAAATCTATTTAACATGCACAGTGTTGGGTTTTGGATACAAAGACATTGGGAAACAAATCACTGCTGCGCAAAGAAAAAAAAAAGAAAAAAAAGAAAAGATGATACTCACAGATATAGTAATATTCTCTGCCTGGACGAAATTCGAAACCCAACGAGAATGGTGTGAAAAGCTGAAACTTCTCGGAAAACTTCAGGGGCCCGTTGGGCGAGTGAGGCCGGTTGCACTCCCAGCGTTTGAAACCTTTCGCCGTTTGGTCACAAGAACTGTAGCCGTCGTAGTTGACCATGAAGAGGATGTAGTGCTCCGTCTTCTCCTCAGGGACCGAGTCCATGTAGTGGGGACAGTATACGTCCAAATAATCGTTTATGCACACGTCGATGTGGTAGTCTCCTCGGTAGAACCTGTGAAAAGGAGAGAGGCCTCAGTCAGTATATTATATGAAATATTAGCGATGCAGTTATTCTCATTCGTATGTTTTACGAGCCATCGAGCCCCTACTTCACAGAAAGGCCACTTCTGGAGGAAGCCACTTATTTGAGGGCAATTACCGCAAATGTGAAAGCACGTAAATCATCCAATCTGAGTCCGCTAGGGCTCACTGAAGATCGCGAGGAAAATTCATAATCCTGTCGTTGACGTGGATGCTTTAAATACGCCTGAAAGAATGAGTTTTCCATGGGCGAGAGATGACAGCTTGAAATATGGCACTCTGAGGAATGTTTTGGAAGAAAAAAAGGTGCATCTCTCGTGCCAAAACAGCCAACCGTTCCAGATTTACATCTTGTTTATTATAAATCGAGACAACCTCCAGAGGATCTAACCAAATATGAATGTCAACAGAATGTGCACAAATTCATTTTGACAAGGAAGCAATTTAAAAACATAGATTCCCATAGGCTGCATATAAGAGTTTAGCGGAGATGGATATGCTCTGGTCAGATTCATTTAGAGTCACTGCAAAAAATTCTTGAGAAAGACTTGCGTCACAGCGAACGTGACCGTGGTCCAGTGACTCGGCTTAAACATGAAGGTTGCTCAGGATTTGGAGGGAATTTTCGGGGTGTAAGCCGGTGGACACCCAGCAGAAACCCTGGGGATGGCCAGATGAGCTTCCAGGCTAATGTGAGTATAGTGTTGCTATCCTGATGTGGACAGAAGCACAGCTGGCCACGCTGACACAAAGATTTCCACTCATTACGGACAATAAAAGACTATTGAGAGCAGATGGAGCTCGAGACCTATCAGATTATCATTATGTGGATTTCCAACTCACTGCTGGAATACTGAGTTTCCCTGTAGGTTTGGCGGTGGTTTGTGTGCGTGAATGCATGTTTGGCAGTGTGTGGGGCTGTGTATCGATGAAGTCTGCAAACACTTTAGGGCTATTTTGAACAACTATTGTTTACTACTTTTGGGAGCTACATCATTTAAATGGAAAGCAAAGTTTCAGCTGTGAAAAACATGAGTGATCACACAGTCCAATGTTTTCAGCTCAAAATCTGGAATTTAGTGTTAAACATATATTTTTTTTTTCATCATTGTGCACTGGCAAAAACTAAACTATTTCCTGATTAAATTAATTGGCTTATAAAGTTATATAGTGTATTGTTGACAAAAATCAGCCAAAACTGGTGTCTAGAATATATGGAATAACAAGGAACACACTTTTCAAAAAAGTAACATTAGTTAAAGCATTAGTTTATCATGAACTAGCATTTAAAATTTTGGTACAAATTAATTTTATATAATAACATTTGAAGTTATACGCTATCATTTAAAACTTTAGGGCTGATAAGATTTTATTAAAATGTTTTTCACAGAAACTTTTATGCTTGCCTGCATTTATTCTGATAAAAAACAGTAAATCAAACAGTAAATATTGTGTTAATAAATATAATAAATATTATTACAATTTAAATGAACTCTTTTCACTTTAATATATTTTAGAGTGTAATTTATTCCTGTGATTGTAGAATTGTCGGCCGCTGTTACTCTAGTCTTCAGTGTCACATGATTCTTCAGAAATCACTCTATGCTGGTGTTCAAAAACATTTCTTATTTCTATTATCAACATTATAAACAGTTGTGCTGCTTAACATTTTTGTGGAAACTGATACATTTCTTGCAGGATTCTTTGATCATGAGGAATACAAAGGTTAAAAGATCAGAATGTATTTGAATATAACAGAAATCTTTTGTTACAAATGTTTTTACATCAATTTAATGCATATTTGCTGAATTAAGAGTATTAATTTCTTTCAAAAAATGAAAAAAACTGAACAGCTGTGTCATTTTACATTAAAGCATTTTGAATAAACATGAATTAACAATAAACAATAGTATTTAAATGAACATTGGTTTATTGTAAAGTTATTTGCTTGCTTATTGTAAAAGTATCACTTTTTTCATGCAACATCTCAAACTAAGCTCTAAATTAGTGCAAAAACATGCTAACAGCACAAATATCAATTTCCAATGTATGCATGAACTAATATAAAAAGTACGTCCTCAATAAAAAAAGGAAAAAAAGCATCTGCCAAATACATAAATATACTGTGAAATGTAGTCAAAGCGAATGACGTTTCACCCGTCACATGGGAAATATCTTTGCTAGAGGATACTAAAAGACTATTTTTCCCTAGGTCAAAAAGTCTGAAAACCAGACAACAACATATTAGCTCTCTGGACAACAACACCTATAGGCAACATAGTGCTTTTCCATGTCTTGTGTTAGAAAAATCAATGAGTGAGAGGATTGAGTCACATTGTGTCACTTTATAATATTCTTATGCGGACTCTAAATCAAAAGCCACTTCAGAAATTCATTTTCAATGTGTATCAGATGAGCTCCAGTGGGTTATAAAGAGATTTGACCGCATTAAACCCAATAACAAACAGCTCATCAATGTTGGGATTTCTTTCATGCGTTTGAAGAGCGATGGGCCAGCTGGTCAATAAACCACACAATGCTGTGCCAATTCATCATTAGGCTTAAAAAAGAAGCTCATTAGCTGTATCTATCAGGGGTACTAACACAAACATGGCACATCGCTGCATCAGAACAAGTCTTACAACAAAAACCTCCTATAATGATAATCCCCCTATTCAGCCGATTCTCTCCATCGCTCTTTCTCTGCGTGTTCAAACAGAGGGTGATGGGTGATGACCGGGGCAGACCCGAGTCTAAAGAAAGGCAGGGCACCGGGAGGCAGTGGGTTCCAGGAGTTCATGATTAAAATTGGTTCATCCCAAGGTCAGACTCCTCAGACTTAACAATGGAATGAAAAATGAAGCAGGCTCTTCACTTAAGAATTTCCAACGGAAGCCAATTACATAAAAAGAATTCTGAGAGGTTGCCATTGATTTTCCAATGAAGGGAAGAAACTGGCAAAAATATCAAGCTAAGACATAGACAAGCCTCAGGACAAAACAACATTATTTCTTTTGACAGGAGATCTACTTAGAGTATTTAGAGGTTCACCAAAGTGACAATTCAAATGTTCTGACATTCCAAACCTGTACGGCTTTCTTTCTTTTGAAAAACAAAAGATATTTTGAAATCTTACAATGAAAGTCAGTGGGGTGCTATGTTATTTAGGACCCCATTGGCTTTCACCGTATGGACAAAAACAAAATAACTTGAACTTCTGCTTTTGTGTTCTACAGAAGAAAGATAGGAACGACATGAGGGGCGAGTCATTTTTTTGGGTGAACTATACCTTACACCTTCCTGTAGAAGGCGCTCTTGAGGCAACGACTGACGTGACTCCCAGGGGTGTCGGTCAGCTAAGCCTCGAGCCCTCCAGGCCTTTCACAATGGCACAGATGGAGGATCTCCTCCTCAGGTTACAGCTCTCGGGCCAGCCGCGGAGCAGTTGTCCCATCATTCAGTGGGGAGGCAACGGTACATCTCCCAACGCCTCAGATATCACTCATTCACCCCTTCCAAAAGAATGTCTGCCCAGAAGCATTAACATCACAGACAAACAATGGCCTGCCAGGACTTCAAGCTGTGCTGGCTTGGCAAACGCCTCAAAAGACGGATGAAGGTGAAGGAGGGGAGAAAAAGGCACATAAAAGCCGTCTCTCTGTGAGTTTCCCATGGAAAACACTCCGTGTGAGATTTTCTTGAAGAGACGAGATATATGGCTCTCTACATTAAAAACATATTCGTGTTTGTGGGAGGCATGTCTATATTTCAGATACATTGGCAAAGGACATACAGCAGCGGATTAGAGAAAAAAGGTAGATATGTGAGGACACATGTGTGGCTAGAAGAAAGCAAGCAAACATGAGTGAGTGAGAACGGGACTATCGGTCTTGGGTGCGATTGTTGCTTGTCTAACATGTATGATATGTGGAAAATATTCCCAGTGCTACAGGTTAATCTTCCTGCTCTCGTGTCATCGTGATTAGTGGAGTGCAGTATGGTATATGTCACTCATCAAGTAACAGGACTATCCTGTGGTTAACCCAACACAAACGACATACCTTCATATCATATATTTACACGCCCTTGATTCAATTTGATTCTGATTCATTTCGATTTCAGGATATTCCTGAAACAGGATATTAATGATCATTAATGAAAAAAATCTCAAGTATTTCAGACTAAATTATGCAGGTTATTTATATTTTTAAACGACTCAATAAAATAATAGGCTCAATCGAATAATTTGTTTTGGGAATCAGGCTACACTGGTTGAAAAAAAGTAAATGTAATTGTTCACCCAAAAAATGAAATCCAGTAATAATTTACTCACTCTCATTTTGCTCGTGAATGTTTTTTTGGAATAGAAAAGAACATTTTTGTGAAGAACGTTCAAACTGTTTATCCATATCATGAATGGGGTCCAAGACAACATTGAACCACACTGATATTTTTTGTATGGACAAAAAACATGTTCTTAAAACGTAGATGTTTTTTTTTTTTCTGTTCTGAAAAAGTAAAAGGGCATACAGATTTGGAATGACATGAGGGTGAGTAAATGATCACATAATGATCCAATCATTCTATGTTTGGGTGAACTATCAGTATCTCAATCAAGAAAAATCAGTATTTTTACTCACCCTAGAATAGTCTGCATTTGGTTTAGCAAAAGGTCGCAAATGGGACACCCTGTGGCCTCGTGAACTTCACGGACGAGCGCGAGTAAACACTCTTTTTATAAATAACATACTTGTTTAGATTGAAAACCTCATTATCCTGAGTGGATCCTCTTTACTGCTGCAACTGAATATTGAGTAGATGCTTTACAGATCTCAAATAACTAGATTGACATGAGTGCTTGGCACCAAATATACTCTAGTGGCCCTAATGCAACATTGAGACCACATGAGGTCAGAACTAGGATCAGAGGTCATGGTTCGGCCATTATTAATGAAGGCCTCCATATTCAAG